AAAAAAAAACCACATGCTCTGAGTTGATGGCGACGAGTCCCGGGGGGGGGGGCGAGCAGTGCGCGATGGGTCTCGCCGGCAGGGGAATGAATCGCTCTTCTCGTTGAAAGGCAGAGAATTGGTCGAGATCCGTGGCGAACAGAGGGAGGCGTTCTCGGGGCCAAAGTCGATTTCGATTCGAATGGATGGAATTTCGAGAAAGATACGACAACAGATGGCAGGACGAGGTGTCGTGTCAAGGTGAAAGTCGAGTGTTGGTAAGGTAAAAGGGAGATCAGACCAGACCAAGAGGAGGAGAGGAGAGGAAGGAGAACAGGCTTGTCTTGTTCGGCAAGGTAGGTAGGTACCCAGTAAAAAGCACGGGCGACTAGGAGACAAGGAAGGTAGGTAGGGGGGGCGATGGGATGGATGGGAAGGGGAAGGAAAGCGAGGTAGGTACCTTACAGTGTACAGTGCAGATGAAATGGGGCGGGTGTGGGAAGGGGGTGGATAGCGTAGACCAAGAACAGAAGCCAGCAACCAGCAGCCAGGAGCAACGGCAGCGGCAGCGGTCGAAGCACCCAGGACCCAACCAGCAACAGTGGGAAAAAGGGGAGGGGGGCGGATTGGGCAAAAAGAAGTGGAGATGGGATGGGGTAAATGGAACGGGTCGCTCCTGGCTTGGGCTTTTGGGTGTGGGCGTGGGAGTGAGAGTGGGAAGCAGCCATGGGCTCGGGCGTGCCTGCTTGCCTGCTCTCCCCCCTCCTCCTCCTCTCCTCTCCTTTCCAGTAGGTATTTAGTTCCAGTGATCTTATTGTGCTGTGCTTCGGGCTGGACCTCCTACCTTGCCTGAGGTGACTTTGGTTGCTGGCTGAGGTTCTGTTTCTGCGTGCCGTGAAGGGATTAGCGCCGAGATGCGCGATCGACAGCGACGAGCTAGGAAGGCTCGAACGAGTCTAATTGGCGATGCAAGCACTTTCCTGGCCGCGGCGACCACTTTAGCCTTTGCCAGTTCTGGTGGTTCCCCCAGTTTTGCTGGCTGTCTGAACAAGCTCCCAGCACGCCGTTCATGTCGGCTCTGTCAGCAGAGATGGATGCTGGATGGCCACTATGCAGATGCAATGCAGGTAGGTTGATGTTCATCACAGTGAGGGCGTTGGCTCGTGCAGCGCTACAGCACGACCGCAGTTCGTTCGTGGCAAGACCACCCGCCGAGGCCCTGCATGTCCGCCATGGCGGCACAGTGTGGACCCACCGACTCTGTAAAGGCCTGTGCGACATGGCCATTGGTTGGCAGTGCGCCCTCCATTTCCGCGATGGCCCACATTGAAGGTAGGCACCTCGTGGTGAGCACTTGTTGCTCCCTGGAAAGGTCCTGCCTGCCTGCCTCGCCCGACACGAGTTCGGGTTAGGTGCTGCAGCCCATTGAAGCGTTCAGCAATCAACCACAACACCAGAGGGTACCTATTGAAAGTCACCCAGCGCTGATGAACTTGTCTAACGCAGGTCTCGCCCGCTGGTAATGTCTCGGCTGTGCGACGGTGAACGCGTTGTACCGCCGAAATATCCATCAGACCCTCCAGCCACAACACGAGTTTCTGGCCTGTCGTTAACCGCCCCTTCCTGTCGTGCTGCTGGCATCTCGCGTGGGAAATGGCATCCTCTAGTCTCCAGATTCTTTCCGAGCCGTCCTACCAGTAGGAGCAAGGAGCCAGGAGCCAGGAGCCAGGAGCAACTGGATGGACACTGATGCACCCTGGGAAGGTCCTCTCCTTTTTTTTCTGTCCGGCGACGACTAATGCAGAGAGCTCTGACCACGCGTGCTCAGGGTCGAGCGTATTTTTACACACTGTCTTTTGCACGGTACGCCTTCGTGGACCTGCACCTGCCTCTGCGCTACCTACCTGCCTAGTTACCTAGCAGGCCTAGTAACTAGGTAGGTGGGTACCTGAGTATCGCTTCTCTGCACAGCCAGTGTAGGGGAAATCGGAACCGAACTGCCGTGAACACCAACACCACGCCAAACACAACACCGAGGCATTGACGCGGTACAATCCTCCTTCTAGTGGATTTTCATCACGACTATTGATCGCGGCCAAGCGAGAAATCGACACTGGCTTTGAGGTCATGATCAGCACATTGTCCGCGTCGTTGCCAATACCAAACGCATAGCCGAGGTCTTGCGGCCTTCAATCTTCGCTTCGACCTTTCACTGCCAAGACAACGGCGAAGTGAACAAGCCAACAGCAGACCTTGATCCGTACCCGGAAAAAAAACATGTCCCAAGAAATATCACAAATCCACTCCAACCCTTTATCTCGTCTGCCGCAAGGGCCATGAAGAAAACCCAGAGCCGCCACACAAACCAACGTCCTGGAAACCTACAGAGCCAGATCCAGACCTAGGCCGCATGCTTGCTCGTCCAGGTGACACAGCCCAGACCTTTCCTCTTTCCCCTATCTGCCTGGTCCCCAAAAACCAAATGACCAACCTGGTAACTGTGTTGAGCGTCAACCATGCTTGCTCTGGATGGTCTAAGCATCAAACTGGCTCAAATACAAAGAGGATAGGCGAAGTGGAAACGTGCTTCACACGGCCCTGGTCTCCCGCCGGTCCTATTCATTGGCCTGGCTGATGGTTGGCATCGAACGCCAACGGCCATTTGGGTTGTCTGGTTGTAATTTCGCACATGCACTCATCATGTACCCCAGGTCGCCCAGGCGGCGGGCCTGCACGTTGACGGGGCCCTCATTACATGCACGCTGCGACTCCGCCGGGGCCGAAGCCCAATGCAGTTCTCAGGCCCTTTCGGCGGGATCTCCAGATGCGCTATTGTTCAAAAGTACCGGCACGACAGATTTGAAGCTGGACATGCCCGTCAGTGTGAATCAAGCCAGCTGTGGTAGTCTATCTGTGACTATGACAGGAGGCCAGGCCAAGATTCTGACCAGTGAAGAAGAAGCCTCCTCACTCGTCACTCGTCGGCGCGGCTATTCATCACCACCAGTTCAGACTCTGTTTCCGAAATCTGTGGCATGATTCGCGGGACAACAGACCCTGGGACTTCCCCCCTGTTCATCATCTTACACCTTGCCGTACGTCTTAACCTCTGCGTCGCTCATTGTCGTTCTTTTCCGCAACTTCCACGCCGATCATATCGGGTCTGGTCGTTGCTAGTGACACGTATCGGTCGATCTACGGCCTGTCTTGCGCTTTGGTCTCTCCTCCTCTCTTCCCCTCCTTTCAGCCAAGCCAGCAGCATCGTGGTCAGCTTGCCGGGAGGGACGAGCGTATCTTGCCAACCACCAGATGACAGCAACCCCTGAGCTGACTTGACAATCGGGCGGGGTGGATGGTGATGCACGCACGACACCATGCTGGCGCGAGTGTGCAGGATCGCCATGTAGCTGCGGCGCCCAGGATTGTGTCTCTTCTTACTCCCCACCGCCGCTGCCTTTCTCAATTGCGCAACTGGCGCCGCTAGTGTGCTGAAGCAGGATGCTGACACCCGCTCGGGCTTCAACGCACCATCTCCGCGCTACAACTGTCAGCCGGTAGTTGATCTCGGTGCATGTTTAGGTTTCCCACCGCAGGGGCCAACGTGTTCTCGAGTTGTGGCTTCGGTACGACCCGGCTCAGTCCATCACGGCGGGCCAGGCGGCACAGACTGCGCGATGCTTTGTGGTTTCGAGATCGGATGCCCTTCCATTTTCGGGTGAGTCTTCTGGCCTTTATTGAAGGTCAAGGGCATAAGAGCTTGCCACATGCTCCTTCTGGAAGTCAGAGATACTAATAAGCAAGAAAAAGAAGAATAAGAAGATGAAGGGTCTGACAGATTGCAGAAGACGTTCGTTATTCGCTCAATGTCCAGGTCTTTTGAGTTTTGATATGAAGAACTGGATGTTTCAGCTATGGATTTTGATGTTTTTGGCGGATGAAGCGGAACGAAGGTCTGCATTATGGTGTCTCGGGGGCTGGAACAGTTCCTAGATGGTGGAGCGGAGACGTAATGAGGCAGCTCTCAACCACCTTGATGGCAACCCTCAACGCACAGCCCCATACGGTTGAGCACTGGTGGAAACCATCGTATCTTGTTGACGTTGCCGAAAGTTTCTTTCACAAGTGTCCGACGATGACCAGTTGCTGCCTCGTCATATGCAGTCATCTTGGCAGTCTATCATGCCTGAAATTGAATGACGCAGGCTCTGAGGTTCGCCGCATCACCGCCATGACCGCGAAGCGCGAGAGTCGTTTGATCTCAGTTCACATCATCACCTCAACAAAGAGAGAAGACAAGTCAAGAGAATCAAAGTCAAGCTAGCATCGCTATATGCAAGACGCCGCGGAAGCCCAGTGGAAGGCAGTGGCTCAGCGGCGCAGCGGCGCGAAAAAGAGTTGCGACGCGGCAGACAACGGCATCGTCTTCTGACATGAACCGTCGCCCTTGCTGCACCCTGGATCCTGGCGCATGTCACAAGCTGGAGAGCGCACGTCAGGGCTTTGCTCCGCTTGATGCTACAGTGCGTATGGCAGAACAATAGTTGGTATTTGGGTGTTTCTGACCACATATAGCCCAGAGTTTTGACGACTAACCCGGATGTAACCCCGCGCTGGAGACCATGGTAGCGATCTAAGTTGCGGTCCCACCTGTTAACCAAGCTTTAAATGTTTATCACACCATTCGCCCAACACGGTAGCTTTCGCACACAACTGCTTCGAGGTCGCGCTAGATGGCCAAAGACTGCTCCAGAATGCGCTCAAGAGGCTCTCCCTTCCCATCTTGAAGGAAGAGCGTCATTATCAAGACCCAGCTCAAGACGTCCAGATGACCGTGATTGGTATTGCGATGGAAACAAAACCCCAGAGCCCGAGGCTCGCTTAGAGACCCCGTTCAATGCTACCATCCGGGGTGGGGCATGAACTGATCCTCGCCATGATTTACATTTACGCAATTCAAAACTCGCCCCGTCCTGGCATGAGGTTGCCAGCCTCAAGTCGGGCAGAGACGGGAAGCGAGACTCCATTCTTGATGACAATGATCAAGGTCCCAAATCAAGCAAAGCTCCAAGCTCACAGTGTGTTTTGCTTTTCGCGCACGAAGGACGGCCAAGGTACCACGATGGTTGATCTTAAAAGGGAAGACGGGCCAGGAAGGGAGGGGTGGGTAACGGAGGGGGGCAGCAAATGTCCAAGGTATGCCACACCATCGCCCATGCTGCTAGCCAGTTCTGAAACGCATCCAATCTGCAGATCGATGGCTTATCACCTCCGCTAGGGACGTTTCTGGACTGCGTCGTCTTTTCTAGAAGTTGTGGAAATCGAAACCTCGCCTGCTGCATGGCTCCCTCAGGGGATCGTCAATGCCTGCATCGACCAGGGGGGCGGTTGTTGTGGTGGGCGAGAAGCAATGTCCGAGCTTTGACGACATCTCATCTTGCTAATCGCGAACGTGGGGTCCATGAATGATGTCCTGAAAAAGACGAATCGCACACTCCACGTGTGTTGTGATAAGCGGTCACCCGTGAGAATACCACCACGCGCGGCGCGTGGGGTTGTTTTCTCCTTCTTTTTCTCCTTCTTGCTTCTCTGGCTGCTGAGACTCCTCTAGATGATAGAAGCGCGCGCGCGTGACAATGTCACGGATGATGACGGACCGCGAGAAAGTTGCGTGGTGTAAGATGGGGGAGGGGAGGGGGGCGCCGACACGGGTCCTCGGCGCCAGGTTCGCCTCAGCGGGGGGGGTGGTAATCTCCTTTTTTCTTCGACCCCCTTAGCTTAGATCTCTCAAAAGAGAAGCTCGCCAATTTGGTGCCGTGCCTGGTCCATTTCTCCGAAGAAACATCGCGAACGGTGCCATGCAGCTGAGATGACGGGGTTGCAGTCGGGCGATTGGAGATGACAGAGGACGGCCTGTTTTCCCTGATGAGAGGGCCCCATCGCAGCTGTGGTCTTGTCCGGATTCGTCGCAATGTATCTGGAGGGCTAATATAGTCTTGGCTTCCGCAAGGGCAAAGACGAGCCGCAAGACGTGACGGAGCACCAGAAACCAGGGTACTCGTATCACATTGACAGTCAACGGAGCGGACATTTGTTTTAGTGCTAGATATTTGTCCCCCTCCCCTCCTCCAACCCCAAACTCGTATCAAGTCGCTGCCGGCGCAAAATCACGGAGCTACAAAACCCGCCAATATCGTGATGCCGTCCTCGCATGCTGCCGGCCGCTCGTCTCCTATTCGAGAGGTTTCTTGCCTCCCACGACGTCATCCTCCCCCTCCAGCGCGACGCGCTTGCCCTGCACGCCCTCCTCGACCTCGGCCACGAGGCTCTCGATGTATGCTTGGTCCCTGCATGCACGATTAGCCTTAGTCCCTCCCACCCCCCTCCCACCCCCCCTTCCATATCGGCAGGTACAGATGTTTTGGCCCCCACGCCACGGGGCCCTCCTTATCAAACGGCGAACCGGAGATGCAAGAACATGCGGGAAAAGCTCACCTGCCGACGAGTGTCACGGTGCCATTCTGCTCCCAGCGCGGATAGCTGCCGACCTTGACACCCTTTGGTCCCACCTTGGCCGCGAACTGCGTGAGGAAGCCGGCGACGGCGCTCTCGGCGAGCGGCGTCGAGATGAGCACGCGGGCGAGACCCTTGCCCTCGGGGTCCGTCAGGCGGGGCACGAGGACCGGCTTGAGTCCGTCGAGTAGCTTTTCGACTTTTTTTTCCTTGGGTTAGCGAATTGTAGGTCGAAACCAACACGGAAAGAGGGGGGGTGAAAGAAAGAGACAGGCCTACAGAGTCTCGGGACACCAGGCAGGATGTGGACGTTGCCGTTGACGACGTTGACGGGCACCCAGAGGTCGTCGTGCGGGAAGAGGAACTGCTTGCTCTGGTCGCGCGCCTCGTCGGTGGGGAGGATGACCATGCGCAGCTTGGCCTGGCGGGCGGGCGAGTCGACGTCCCAGCTAAAGTTGGGCTGCGAGGGATGGGGCTTGGAGAGCTTCTTCATGCGGGCGTAGGCGTCCTCGTTTAGGATCAGAGGGAGGTTGAAGGCTTTGCCGATGGACTCGTAGGTGATGTCGTCGTGACTGAACCCCTTGTCAGATCTCTCAACGGTATGCGAACGACAAGGCGAGAGAAGACGGGACGAGAGAAAAGAGAGGCTCACGTCGGGCCGATGCCGCCGCTGGTGACCACGAAATCATAACGATCGCTCATGCGGCGGACAGCTTCGATTATCTCGGATTCGTCATCCTCGATGACTTCGACACGCTTCAGGCTCTATGGTATGTGAGCTGGCTGGGGTTGGTGACTTGGGTAGGCACAGGGCGAGCTTAGGCTTACGAGACCGAGAGAGAAGCACCACTTCGCCATGTAGGCCGAGTTTGTCTGCGCCAGTCAGTTTGAAGTTTATTTCGTGAAACTACGTGGGCTCCGTCGGTTCCGCCGAACTTACGTCCACAGTCTATCGGGTGTCAGCACATTCGCTTCGCAGAGGTCGCGCGTAACAAGTCGTACCTTGCCGCCGAGGACCTCATCGCCAATGATCAAACACGCTGCCGTGTGAATGGTCCTCGAATTACGTTCATCTGCTGAAGCCATGATTCTGTTGGTGAGTCTTGTCGCCGAAGTCGGACGGGTAAATGTTGAGGCTACGGGGAGGTGTCTCGCGATCTGGGAGAGACGTGAAAACATGAGAATGGACGGAAGATGATGAGAGATGGCGAGAGGCAGCGACGAAAGAGACCCCAAAAAAAATCGCTGGTAGAAATTCGATGCAACGTCCAAGCAGGTCAACGAAGTGAGGACGCGGTCTGGAGAAGTCATCAGTCGAGTCGTGCTTCGCAGCTCTGGCGACGAGCCAACGGTGAGGTCACCAGTGGAGACAGCTTAGGTACCCAGGTAGGTACCTCGAGGAATGGCGGGGCTCCCGGCTGGGCTGTCCCCTGCGCATCGACTGTTCAGGTCCCTTGACAAACGCTGCCATTGCTTCGACTCCCCAAGCTCCCAGCTCCCAGCGACCCGACCATCTCACGCCCCAAGCTTCGAAGAAACGGCTCATCGATCACCAACACCTTGTTCTGCGACTGAATGCTTCAAACACAAAATGGTATGCCGCCTGCCATGCATGCTCCCGTGTCCTGACAACGACTAACCCCGCATCCCCCCGCCAGGCTTCCGAATCGCGTCTCTACACTTTCTCCCAGGACTCCAAGGACCACCTGCGCAAGTTCCGTCTAGGAACGTCAAGGTCCAACGACCCTCAAGCAGTTATTTGTATGTACGTCTCGCTGTCGGCAGAGAGCACATGAGAGGGCTACGAACCATGCGCCCCGCGATCGTGTCTTTTCGCCCGTACGGAATGCGGGGCTGCAAGCTGTTCCTATTCCCCTCGGCTGATATTCGACAGACCTGATTGACAAGACTACGCACGAGATCCGCCAAGATGAGGATCAGATGGTCTACAAATCCCTCGACGCCATTGCCGACGACCTGCCCGACCACAGCCCGCGCTTTGTGCTGCTGAGCTACCCCATGACAGTGGTGCGTCTTTGTCTTTGTCTTCGCGACGCCGACAACCCCCACAGAATAGTCTTTGGAAACTGACAATTGATGCGCAAGTCCGGCCGAACATCGGTCCCCTATGTCCTGCTCTACTACATCCCCGTGACGGCCAACAACGAGCTCAAGATGCTGTACGCCGGCGCCAAAGAGCTGATGCGGAACACGGCCGAGGCCGGCCGGGTGCTGGACGTTGAGAGCATTGACGAGATTGAGGAAGTCCCCTCGAGGTTGGGCGCCGACTAGCGGTGGAAGGTGAGCGGGTCGGCAAGGAGATGAATGACGAAGCACGTGGGACAGGAGCATCTAGGGAAGAGAAAGTTTTGGCATTCAGAGCAGGCAGGGTATCAGATCTTGTTTTGGTCATAAATCGGTCATCCTCCATCACAAACATAACACCCCAAGACGCCTATTCAGGCAGGACGTCCTTCGGATCCAGTCCAATCTGCCTGCTCACGTTCCTGACGACCTCCTTGAAAGCAAGACACGCCGGGCTGTCGGGGAAGCTGTCAAAGTAGCTCTCGCCGTAGTCGCACGCCATGCCTATCCTCGGGTCCAGCGGCACGCTGCCCAGAAAGGGGATGCCCATCTCGGCGGCCAGCCCGCGGCCGCCGCCCGTCGTCGCGCGGAAGATGTCGCTCTGACCGGTGCACTTGGGGCACACGAAGCCGCTCATGTTCTCGGCGAGGCCGAGGACACGGATGCCGGCCTTGCGGCAAAAGTCAATCTCCTTGCGGACGTCGAGCAGCGAGACCTCCTGCGGCGTCGTGACCATGACGGCGCCGTCGATGCCGCTCTCCTTGAGGAACGAGTTGACGCTGAGGTGCTCGTCGCTCGTGCCGGGGGGCGTGTCGACGAGCAAGAAGTCGAGCTCGCCCCACTCGACGTCCTTGAGGAACTGCTTGATGAGGCCGTTCTTCTTGGGGCCGCGCCAGATGACGGCGTCGTCGCGCGACGGCAGCAGGAACTGGATGCTCATGACGCCGAGGTTGTCGAGGACCCAGACGGGGCTCCAGCCGGCGCCGGACACGTGGATCGTCTCGGCCTCGACGCCGAGCATCTTGGGGATGCTGGGGCCGCAAATGTCCGTGTCCATGACGCCGACCGACGAGTCGGGGTTCGTGGCGAGGGCGTGCGCGAGGAGCGCCGTGAAGGTGCTCTTGCCGACGCCGCCCTTGCCGCTGAGCACGAGGATCTTGTGCTTGATGCCCGAGAGGCGCGCCGAGATGATGGGGATGTCGGGGTCCGGGCCCTTGGGCGCCGACGCGCAGATGGCCTGGTTGGGACAGCCGGCGCACGAGTCGGCCGTGCCGGCTTGCTCTGATTCGGGGCCCGGGCAGTGTTCTGGTTCGGGGGCCACGAGCGACGGCTTTTGCGGGTTGGCGATGACGTCTTCCACGGCCTCGGGCGCCTCTAGCGGCGCCTCCAGAGAGGGCGCCATTGCTATTTTCGATGCGTCTGCAGTGTCGTCCGAGTAAAAAGCCGAGTCGAAATCGTGCCGTGAGGTTGTGGTGATGTTGTGGTGATGTTGAGGAGAAGGTGAGGACTGGAGGGGCAAAAGTGAAGGAGCTTAATAATTCAGTTGGCTAGACCCTCCGAGGTCGCATCTCCGCTACCTGCAGCCATCACTGATAAGCAGTGACGCATCAGCGTCTTGCCCTTTTTGATGAATATGGGCGAGATGCCAGTCGAAGACACACATGCTTCATGATCCCCCCTTCACTAAAGATTGTGGCATGTGCCTGTGCCTTTATGCCAGCACGCAGGTCCTGTCCTCGGTCTCCGAAGGCCAAAGCTTGGCCTCCGCATTGGACAGCAAGGGAGGGGCTTATCAGATCTGATAAAGAACCGACCCCACGCAAATTTTCAGAATGACCCCTCCAACAACCAAGCCAGCCTGACTGTGGTGAGTGACCGGCCGCCTGTTGTAACCCTGAAAACACCATTTCTCTCGACCCAACAACCATAAACTACAACAACAGCTTACAACACCCACCATCAAGCCAACGAGGCGCCCTTTTTGACCCTTTTCACCCCCAGACACACTTGCATCATGTCGCCCTCGGCCGACCCCTCTTCGCCCATCTCGACCGAGACCACCATCGCCGCGCTCCGCAAGTCCATCACCTCGGAGGCTACGCCCCTGCCGTTGCGTTTCCGCGCTCTCTTCTCCCTCAAGCACCTCGCGACCGTCTCCGAGACGGCCGAGTCCAACGCTGCCATCGACGCCATCGCCGCCGCCTTCGCCTCCCCCTCAGCTCTCCTCAAACACGAACTCGCCTACTGCCTGGGCCAGACCGGCAACCTTCACGCCGTCGAGCCCCTTCGCAACGTGCTGAGTGACCTCAACGAAGATCCCATGTGCAGGCACGAGGCTGCCGAGGCGCTGGGTGCTCTGGGCGACGCGAGTCAGCTCGACATTCTGAGGCAGTTCCGCGATCGCGAGGGGGAAGAGGTGGTTGTCACTGAGACGTGCGAGATCGCCATCGACCGTCTGGAGTGGGAGACTTCAGAGCAGAGGAAGCAGGAGAAGCTGCGCAAGAGGTGAGGAGCTTGAATTTCCAGCCTACAATCCCGATGCGCATGCAGAACATCACGGCTAACTACTTTGTGCCCATCAAGCGACTTCACATCCATCGACCCCGCACCGCCGATGGAAGAGTCCCAGCGCACCGTCGACGAGCTCGAGAAGAACCTCATGGACCAGTCCAAGCCCCTATTTGTGCGCTACCGCGCCATGTTCGCCTTGCGCGACCTGGCCTCGCCGCCCGACCTGCCGACGGCCGTGCCTGCCGTCCTGGCCCTCGCCAAGGGCCTCGCAGACCCTTCTGCCCTCTTCCGTCACGAGATCGCCTTCGTCTTTGGCCAGCTGTCGCACCCTGCCTCCATTCCCGCCCTGACTGCCGCTCTGAGCGACACCAACGAGGCGAGCATGGTGCGTCACGAGGCGGCCGAAGCCCTGGGTTCGCTCGGCGAGGAAGAGGGCGTCGAGGCCACCCTTCTCAAGTTCCTCCACGACGACGAAAAGGTGGTGCGTGAGAGCGTCATTGTTGCGTTGGACATGGCCGAATACGAGGCCAGCGGCCAGACGGAGTATGCGCTCATCCCCGAGGGCACCAAGGTGTCAGCGTAAGGGGGGGGGGGGGGGGGCTTGGCAGCATGTATATAGACAAGGAGGTATCATTTGATTTGAGCAACAAAAAGCAATAATTCCACTTTCGATGCAACAGGTTCCTAGTTGTTTTGTGACCACCTAGATTCGTCGTTAGCACACTTTTCCGCGTCGACGCCGACCGTCTCGCTGGGCGTTCTCGTACCTGTTGCCGCACTTGCACGTGTAAAAGGTCGTGCTACCTTCATCGGCACCACGGAGCTGCAGCTGGGTGTAGTAGACCTCCTCGCGTCCGCATTTGGGGCAGGTCTCGTCGATGAGAGCGTGGGTATTAACCTTGTGCTTCTCGATGGTCTGCACCTTGGATTGCAGCTTCTGCCTCAGCTGGGAGGGAAAGTCGGTGGGTTTGGTGGACGTCGAGATCGATTTGGAGCCAGTATCTAATGCCGCCGCCTTCAAGTCAGTCGCAGAACACAAGACGGGCCTATGCTGGAAGTCTCGGAAGTGGTCGCACCTTTGTTTTCGGCGTTGCAGCAGGCGCAAATGAGGACTGCCTTTTTTCCACCTTGCGACACGGGCAGCAAGTTACCGCAATCAGTGCAGAAGACAAGACTTCCTATCGCAGACATTTTGTGGAGTGATGTGCAAAATTTGGCGTGAATATGGTTCTGAAAAGTCTCGATGCCACAATCAGCTGTCTCATGAATCTCTTACATGAAGCCAGTTGAGGGAGGGAAATTTCCAGGCTGGTCCTGGGGATTTTCTCCTTATCGTTATCGATCCCAAAAGCATTTATCGCTATCGTCATCTGGTACGTACAGTTTCAGGGGCGGGCATCCTTCGACCCCTGTCATCCCCTGCCAGACTGCATCAAGGCTATGCCCCACGCGCAGCGTGGGGAAGCGCACGATTGGCCAGGCAGCAACGGCAAGCACGAGCCGTCAAGCTGGATGACCGGGGTTCGTCCTCGCGAGGCTGTCGCAACTTCCACCTTCTCCAACCTCGAATCGAGACGGGGTCGACTTCAACAATACACACACCACTCGACCGCCTTAGCAACTGGGACACTCGAAAGCAACCTCTCGGTACTTGGACTCGAACAGGCCCAATAGCGATATCGTGTCTCGTGTGCACTTGTCCTCGGACGTCCGCTCCTTTTCACCCACCCACGTCTTCCCGACATCGTTCTGGCATCCGCACCCGCCTAGCAACAACCCCATTACAAGCTTGATAGGCGATGAAGCGCAGAGCCTCCGACGGCTGACATCATGGCCGACAACAGAAGCGGTCAAGGGCCTGCACAGCCCGGACCGGCGAACGGAACCTATGGACAACCTCAACCCTCCTTTCACGAGCATTCCGTGCGGCCGTTCACGCTGCAAGAGGCACTGCCCTATTCGCCTCAAACATCGGTCGTGCCATTCACTGCCGGTAAGCACCCATTGTTTCTTGCTGCTGCTTTCATACGTCGAATTGATCTGACCTTGCGCTCTTTCCACCTAGACCTGATCCCTGATCCCACGGTCGGGTCCGGCCTACCTGCCTCGAGCATCGCCCATCTCTTTAGCAACAAGGATTTCGACCAACTCAACAGACAAGCTTCGCAGGATCCGAACAGCAAACAATTGAAACATGCTGTAGACCACTTGCTTCAGGAGCTGAGACCAAATCAGCGAACATTTTAGTATGCGCCATCCTGCCCCCAGCCAGTCAACCAGATTGCTGACAATCAATCAGCAAGTTCAAACAGATCACAAAGCCTCTCATCGACCCCGAGTCATCCAAACACAAAACCGAAGGCCTCACAAAAGGCCTGACGCCACTGACCAACATGGTCCTTGAGAGGGCGCCCACCTTCATTCGACGACCAGGCGATGGCCCGAGTCGAACCACGCCAAATGGCGAAGCTACCGTTCACGACCAACAGCGACCGTCGAAGAAGTCAGGCTCGCCACAGGACGCGAAACGGGCCATATCCAACGCAGAGGCGCACCGCCAGAATGTAGCTCGTATAGAGATTGCCATTCCCGCCAAACAGTTCGACCCGACTGCCTACGTCGCTTATCCTGACCAGCCTTCGCCCGTCGATCAAAGCACAGCAACAACGGCTCCTCAACAAGTCCTTCCTCAAGGAGTTGTCAAGCTCGAACCCACAGGCACGAGTGAAGTTTCCTCCGCTCAATCTACCGCTGCGCCAGTCAAAAGAGAGTCGGAGACTAGGAACACCGCTTTCGCTGTTGAGCTTCCACATGCTAAGTTCAACAAGGCAGAGTACGCCCAAGTACCAGATGAGACAGATGAGCCTCTGCACTTTTCGATTAGACGAGAGGCCTATCACGATAGCCAGGACGCGCTCGGGGCAAGCCTAGACCAGCGCCAACGGGCTGAGACGGCACTCCTCGACCTGGATCGACTAGCTCGTAGTGTGTTTGACGCTGTTGGTCATGCTTTGCAGCGCGATCCTGGTTATGCTCATATTGTGACCATAACTAACAACGGCGATCCGGCACTTGCGAGCGATGCTCATCAACGATTGCAGAAGGCCGTCGAGAAGGTCATCAGTCTGGGAAGCTATGCTGAAGTCCCCCTGGATGTGCTCATGCGGATCCAGAAGCTCAGCGAAGTTAGTGTCAAGCAGACCCTTGAGTTGGATCTTAAACTTGACGACAGTTGGGGCGAGTCCGATGTCAACAGATGGCTAGATCAACTCCAGCAGGTGGAGATCGGTTTGAGAGCAGGCCGGACCATGATGCGTATCATGTGCGGCGGGCGTGAAGAAAAGCTGCTTTATTCGGAGGATGCTATTAAGCAGGGCATTGAACTGTACAAGAATGTCGTAGATGGCATTGTTGTTCCGGTGGTCGAGCTCAAAGGCAGCGGGCCGACTAGCGACCTTTTCAAGCTCCTCCACCCACACAAGAAGGAACTCGCCACAATCCTGGTCAATTGTCAACGCCTGTTCGCGCTTCTCACGACTCTTGTCCGGAGCATCCAGCTCTCCGATGTTGCTCTCGGCACTCTCGAATTCTCTGCCTCGAGCCTGATTTTCGTCGACAACGCTCACTACGAGAAGGATTCAGTGGTGGGAGTTCAGAAATTCGACGGGATCCGGTTGGTGGCGATGGACATGCTCTGCCAGATTTTCCTTGTCAAGCCAGATGAGCGTAATGGCATCTTCAACGAGCTTCTCACGTCTCTTGAGAAGTTGCCAGTCGGCAAGCAAAGCGCTAGGCAGTTCAGGTTGTCGGAAGGCGGGAACATCCAGCCCCTCTCTGCACTCCTGATGCGTCTCGTCCAGTCGAGCTCTGGAAAGATACAAATTAAAGAGCAGCGTGCAAGGTCATCAGAAGACGCCGACGGCGAAGAAGATGAGCTCCAGAATGGCACCACGACACATGCGGGGTCTGATCAGCAGATCTTTACGATTATATCGGAGATTCAGGGTGCTGATGAACACCACACTGCCATGACTGAATTGGAGAATGTGTCGAAACCTCTCGTCGACGGCGTGCAGCGCAACGCCTCTTATGTCGTCAATTTCATTGTCAATCGGGCTCTGAAGTCAACCAAGTCTGGGGACGCACCGTTCCGCAACCTACTGGATCTTTTCGTCGAAGACTTCACCACATGCATGGATTCGCCTGACTGGCCAGCCGCCGAACTGATTCTCCGACAACTGACCTACTCTATGATTCGACTGTGGGAGAACGACAAATCAGTGGCTCCAGCAAAGAACATGGCTCTCGAACTGCTCGGTGTCATGTGTGCAGCAGTGTCGAGGCTGCGCTCCCATATCAGGAAAGTTGCGGAAAGCAAAGACTCGAGCACTAGTGACCAGCTGGGGCGGTTTCTCGCGGACCTTGCCATGTCCGCCTTGGAGCAGAACAACCGCGTGGAGCACTTGGTTTCCTGGTCGGGACCCTTCCGGGCTACCCTTGAGCACCTTGAGGAACGCTGCGCCGATGACCCTCACCTCAGGGGTGCCATCTCATATTTGATCACGGATTGGGCCGAGCGTTGCAGCTTGGCTTACCACAGCGTCGAGGAAGATATGGAGGAGCGTGATCGCGAGTATGGCCGTCTAGCCTATCGACTCAGGATGATGATCGATGACCCTCGCTGGCTGTCCAGTGAGTACACTTTCAAAAAGGTTGCGCCCAACCACGCCAAGCTGTCTTACTCGATCGTCTTACTTCGCTCTCCTTTCTGCGAGCTCTTCCCTCGTATGCTTAACGCTCTACTCAACGCCATGGCCAGCGATCAGGCATCTGTCCGAAGCAAGAGTTTGAGAAGCATCAATCAGCTTTTAGAGACGGATCCGGCAATCCTTGACGGCAACTCGTTGGTCGTGGAGCTCATCATGAACTGTTCCAATGATTCTTCGCCACAAGTCCGCGACTCGGCTATTGGCCTCATGGGCAAGTGCATCCAGCTACGAAGCAATCTCGAGGAGAAGATGATGGGAAAAATCATGCACCGCTTCGTCGACACTGGTGTAGGAGTACGCAAGCGGGCCATGAAACTCGCGCGTGACATCTACCTGCGTAATAAGAGCAAACAGGCCCGAAGCGCGATCGCCGGCAACCTACTGCTCCGTGTGCAAGACCCCGACGAGAGTGTGCGCGATCTGGCTCGGCAGATGATCGAGGAGGTTTGGTTCGCGCCTTTCTATCATGCCGAGGACACACCCGCATTCAAGTCCTCTCTGACCGAACACGTCGCTCTCATGATCCAGACGAGCAAGTCTGGGAACATTACCGCTATCCTAGACAAGGTGCTGCAATCAATCCTCGGCACGACGAACAAGACTCACAAGGGGCCATTTGAGGTGAGCATTAAACTAGTCGCCAGCATGTTCGAGCTCATCGACAACCTCGATTCGGATGACCCATCCATTCCTCACGGGCGAGACGCGTTACAAGTTCTTCAAGTCTTTGCGAAAGCCGATCCCAAGCTCTTCACCTTTGAGGAGATCCGCATCTTGAAGCCACACCTGTCGAGCTATAGCACCGTTGACGATCGGGCTGTGTTCAAAGCTGTGACCGTCATTTACCGCCAGGTGTTACCGCAACTTACGATCAAGCATGAAGAGTTTCTTAACGATGTCCGAACACAGCTTCAAAATTGTCTCGGCAAGATTATTAAGCCACTCCTGGATGATTCGGTCGCTTGTCTCTGGATCTTAGCTCAGTTGCTTGGCAATCGTACGAACTTGGCTCGTCTTGCCGGATCCAGTCTTGCAGGAACAGTCAAGCTCCGTCAGTCGCCTCCTAACGAGAAAATTGTCCAGCTCTTCATCCGCTACTCCCAGATTATTGGTGCCGTCGGCAAGCACTGCGATCTAGACTCTGATTGGGATTCATTCAAGGCCGCGGGCAGCCCGTCTCTGCCCGATTCCAAAGACAAGTCGGTTACGAAGCTCATGGTGGATCAACTCTCTCCTTGGGCTGACCCAAAGAAGCCTCTGGAGGCAAGGAAGGCCGCTTTGGAGGCGATTGGGCTCATCTGTCAATCGCACCCTCGCAATTACGTGTCCCCCAACGTGATTCCGAGGTTCGAGGCTGTCTTTTCGGAGAAAAACCCCGTCCTTGAGGATGCTGTTTTGAGATCCTTCAAAGAGTTCCTCATCAGTGAGGAGCGACGATCCGAGGCCTCCACCGCCAAACCCGCTACGGGCCCAGATGACAAGAAGCGCAATCTGACAGTAATGGGCGGAACCACCCACGACGACGTCAGCAGCGCGACTACGCAGCGTTTCCTAGAAGACATTACAAGAATCGCTCTATCGTCTAAGGACGAGCACGCATTCTTGGCCGTCGAGGTCCTCGGCAGCATTAATCGACAAGGCCTCACGCATCCAAAGGAAGTTGGTGTCACGCTGATCACTCTAGAAACCTGTCCGGTTCATAGGATCTCTGAGGTTGCTTACATGGAACATCGAGCCCTGCACGAGAAGTACGAGACCGTCGTCGAACGTGAGTACGTGAAGGCCATCCAAGTGGCTTATGAATATCAGCGCGACATTATACAGGATCCCCGCGGCGCAACGGAGAACCCTTTCCAATCGAAACTTCATCTGTTGATGGAGGTTCTGAAGATCAGCAAGTCGAAGAATCGTCAGAAGTTCATGGCTAAACTCGTCGCTCATGTTGATTTCGACCCGAACAAACTGGAAACCACGGAAGAGATGCCACCTCAGGTGGGCATCTCCCGGTTCATCATTGAGAACCTTGCCTTTTTCGAGTACATGACCGTCGGAGAGGTGCAGTTGACTGTCGCCGCCATGGAAAAGGTCGTCTCTGCAACAGGGTCTAATCTCGCGCATGTTATTGAGACGGAGCTGTTCAATGTCCGTATGGATATGGATACTGAACAACCCCCTCAACCTGTCGCAGCGCAAGAGGGACAAGTTGAGGAAGGTTCAGTCGTGCAAGAGCAGTCGTTTGTGGCGCCCCCTGCGAAGCTCAATGTCACTCCTGAGCGGCTGCGGCAGCTCGGAGCCGGCGCCATCATTCTACTGGCGCTCTGGGAGGCGCGAACACACATCAGGCGTCTCTACGGCATGAACAGTAACCGCAGGGAGTCGAAGAGCAAAGCGGCTGCCAAGGATCTCAGCAAAACACCCGTCAAGGTTCCGGGCATCACAGGTGACAAGTTTTGGGAAGAAGTCACTTCTCACATCAGCGGTCTGGATTCGCAAGAGTGTCTCATGCGCAAGTGCCGAGCCTTTGTGGAGCTCATGAACGTTGACAAGGAGTTCAAGGTTCAAAATGAGGACGAGGAGCTTGATGACGAAGAGCCCGCGACTCCCAGCGGTGGCGAAGACGAAGCGGGAACTCTCAACCGGAAGAGGAAAGCAGGTCCGGGCACGCCCGGGAGCCGCAAGAAAGCAGGCGAGGATGAACGGCCCAAAACCGCGCGGACGACCCACGAAAAGGGAGCGCCAGCCGCCCAGCGATGATGAGGACCGCTGACGGAGACTTTGATGACCTTGTTCTGAGACGGGTAATCACGATACGATGTGGCTCTGCTCGAACAGGACCGGGGAGGAGGCGTTAACTGGTGTTCCCACGTGTTTGCGCCACGCATCGATATGACAATTTTGCAACGTTACGAGCTAAGTGGAGGGGTTTCATGCATCTTTGGCTGTTTTATACCGAGGCCATGGGGGTCGGAAGAATCAGGTGCATCATTCAAAGATAAGGAGGTTCCGCGATATTGGGGCATGAGGCTGTGCATTGTGTTACAACGGAGACGAGAGAATTGGAGCGGAGACGTCGCAAACCGAAGATGGGTGGCGTTTAGGTGTTTTTCTCCGAGGTGGTTCGGCGACTCCCTGCGGACAAAGGGGTGTCCAGGGTACCTTTTATTTGGGAGGCATCTTCCAGATAGAAATCGGGCTTGTCTTTCGTTTCCTACTTATTTGCTCTTTTTTTACCGATGATACCTCTCTTCTGGTGTGGTTGGCCTTTCTCTACCAAGAAAAATACAACGATGGCCGAAACTATCGGAGCTGCACTCGGCTCGAGGCACGGTAGTTAGTTGGTTTGCTCAAGAACGCTGACTGCTGCTTCTCAACGTCTACTTGCAGGATGACTCATGTGACAGGCGCGATCAATCCAATTTAAACGCAGCGGCGATGGATGTTTCCTCGAATGTGCACACGATATTATTCATAATGGGTGGTAGTTGGAGCTCGTTGCTACTACCCCTGAGACATCTTAAGAAAGACAGCAGATAAAGAATGTATTCCCAACCCTCTCTAGCCTCAAACGCCAGTGCCATGCCGCTTCCCATCCAAATGTCAGTGCTCAAAGCGATGCTGGACGATGACCGTCGCTCCATCCGCTGAAAAGAAACATGAAAAGCAAAAAAAGCAAAACCTCCGCTCTCTCTCTCTCTTCGGGTATCATGTGAGCATCCATGTCAACGCTTTCTCGTCCCGCCTTGATCGTCTCACGTCACAACTCAGATCGACATGCAGTGCCAAACAAACAAAAGTTGGTCACAGCGCCCAAAGCGCATCACTCGCTTGCATCCATATTGTCAAGCCATCCGCGGACCGCTTCACGCAGGACGCTTTCCTGCTCTTCTCTCACGACTCTGCCGCCGTTTCCATTGCGGCCCTCACCTTCGTGCTCTCGCTTCTCCACAACGTCCCGAATAATGTCGTGCAAGGCGGACAGAACAACCGACTTGCATTCACCTCGCGGTACTTCTTGAACCATGTGCGGTACCGTATGGCTCTCTTCAGATTCGGAAGCGTCGCTGTTGCTGCGTCCGCGACCCTTGCTTGTCGATCGTGACGAGCTAGAAGAATTGTGCTTGCTCGTGTCGAGGCCCTGTGCGATAACTCTTTCGACAGCCTCGGTCAGGACGTCGTCCAGGCTGGCAAATTTTTCTTCAATGAATTCATCCTCCAGCTGGTGCTCATAAGGCATGACTGAAGGAGTCAGCAGTGCGGTGCCGTAGACGCTGGAACCAGCAGAGCCCATGGGGGCCGGACGTTCCGCCCACGGTCTTGGGCGGATCAGTCGGCGATATCGAATGCGCTTGGTTGTGTGTGTAGCCGTGTCTGCTATCAGCACTGAGCTAATATCGACCCATCTCTCCCCAGAGTCATCGCTTGCATGCTTGTGGAAGATGAACGGAGTCGGTTCCGACCGCATGGACTGCTTGATCTGCTCTTCCAGATCGTCTTGTGGTGGGATCGCTTGCAGCACAAAGTCCTGATGATATCGTTGCAGATACCCGGCGACGTTCATAGGTAAATCGCCATCAATGACGATGCGAGAAAGCTGCTCAAAGCCATCGAGTCCGCTGCCCAGTCCAGGGGTGGAGAGGTAGCCACTGCTTGAGGGAGAGCTGACAGCAGTTTCAAATGATGTAATGTAGTCAGGAAATGGAATGTCGACGTCGATTACGCCATCCTCGGGGTTGATCGTGGTCTTGACAGGAGACTGGAACGCACTCGTGGGATCCGGTGTTCTTTCAGCAAAGACTAATCTTTCGGGCTCGTCATCAATGGCTTGCTCATCATCATAACCGCGAGGTGTCTGGGGCTCACTGCCCTCGATGGACGGTCTTGGATCGGCTGTATGACGATAACCCTCCACAATGGATGCTTCTCTCACCATTTCAGCCAGCTTATCAGTTATACCGAAATTGCCTTTCGTAGGCGAGGTCGGACTGCTGGACTCGTGCATTGTCAGGCTGGATGATCCTCTTCGAGCGGCAGTGCTCCACAGGCCACTAATCATGCTGCCCCATCGGGAACTTGCTGCTCGAGAGTCGGTGCTGGCGCTACTCATGTGTCCCGAAGTTTCGCCGCGTATCAAGGATCGTTTGAGGTCATCCGCGGCAATGCTACTGCTGCTGCCAGGTCGCGGCCTCCGTCGACTCTCTGCCCTATGAATGGTGGAGAAATGGGGAATAGACGTTTCTGGCGTAATCGTGGTCGTTGTTGCCGCGCTGCTTTTCCTACTCCCGACATCGTTGCCAGGGATAGGGAGGTTGGATCTGAGGGAGCCCACGTCAGAGAAACGCCTCTCATGATGTCCTTCCATGGCAAGGTGGGCAAGCTGAGTTGGGACACCGGACATGCGAGTGCTTTGGCTCATGTTGCGTGTGTGCGAGGTTCGCCTTGGTCCAGGTCTGCGGTTGATCTTTCGGCGTAGAGACTCTTCGCGCAGAATCGGCACAATGTAGGAAGGCGGTGACTGCGAGAAGGCCCCGACAGACGTCGACGTGCTCGGCCGGTGTGGGCGTGCAGTGGGTACCTGCTGATTGGCCGGGAGAAAGGCGGACAGCAGGAAAATCAGCCGACGCGCAAGCATCTTGTCCTGAGAAACGATGACGGTGCGGGCAGGTAGGAACAGATCCTCTTCTCCCTTTGCTCGTTGCTGCTCGTAAAACTTCCTTCGGTATGACATGGGGCTCAGCGCCTGGAGCCAGTCCATGTGAGTGGCAAGAAAGCCGGTCAACAGATGAAAGAAGAATGAGAACCCATCATCCCTCTCGCTGGCTCTGCGAGCCATCCACCTCGCCTCGTCTCGCCAGATCCCCCATCTGCCCTGGCCAGTGATGACGCGTTGCGCACGCAGACCAGTGACGACTCGTACTCTTGCC